CAAATTGACTCTCCTACAAAATTAACAGGTTAGATTTAAAATGGAAAAATACTCCAAAGGAAAATAAGTACTTTTCAAAACAATAAACCAAAGAAATGAGTTTCTGGATGTTCTTAACAGATTGCTCATTGATCAGCATGTATCATTGCCAAAGACACTATTCTGCATTGAAAGGATGGAAGGTTCCACTACTCTTTGCTAGATCCCCCACTGAGTAAGTCAAAGTGTGAAATACTCTTTGAAGGCAGCAGGCATTCTTTTGCTTCAAATAATTCTGAAGAGATTTAGAAGCCAGATAGGATTAAAGCTTGGGAAGAAGGGGAAAAATTTCAGCTCAATCTTAACTGTAAATAAAAGAAAACTTGGGGAGAAGGAAGAAGGGAAACTTTACTTAGACCCCACAATTGCTACAGTGGTAAATCTGGCTTATTTAGAATTAATGGGGAAAAGAGACCCTAAGTATAGAGCCATTAATCAAAGTATACAAGAAAGAACCAGTGAAAAATATCTTTAAAACCAGAATAGAGCGTCCTCATGGAATTGCGGGCTTTCAAAAAATATTTTCAAATCAATATTTTTAATCCCAATCAATGTGATATTTGGTGTTCCTCTCTGATTCAGGCCACCTCTCTCTTGCCTGAGTTACTTCGATACCGTCCTAATTAATCTCCCGACTTCCACCCTAACCCTCCTACCAGATGCTTTCAAAAGGTAGATGATGTCCTCTGCTCAGAGCCCTCCGTTGGTTTCCCAACTTGCTCAGAGTGAAAGCCCTAGTCTTTGCAGTGGCCTGGCTCTCTGTGTGATGCGCTCCAGCCATGCTGGCATCCCTGTTGGCATCCCTGCTGGCAGCCCTGCTGATCCTCCAATATACTAGGCACAACTCCTCCCTAGGGGAGGGAGAATTTTCATAGGGTGAGGATCCTCCTCCAACCCAAAAGCCTCTGGCCTCCATCTCTCCTTAATTTTGCTCCATTCACTTACCACTATTTAACACATTAATGTTTCATTTATTTACTTTGTTTTTATCTAATTTCCACCACAAGAATATAAGCTCCATGGGGGCAAGGATTTGGCCTGTTTATTCACCGCATATCTCCAGTGCTTCAAGTAGGGCTTGAAACACAGTAGCTGCTTAATTAATATTTGTTGAATGAATAGATGTAATTTGTGTCTATGTTTTGTCAGGTAAGTACTGCCTTCACTTTAGGTAGTATACCTTGCTACTCTATTATTCTTTATATGAGTATGGAAGTTTTGCTTTTGAACCTCTTGCTTGGTTTTTCAGATACTATTGGTTAAGCTGAGGATTGTCACATGGTCTCTCTCTGGAAAGACCTAGTCTAGAATGAGAAGATGCTACTGCCTCTTCCATTCTCCTTTTATGTTTCCCTAACCTTCCTGACTCTATGAATGCACTACTGAACACCTAAAAAATCTAACTGGATGTCCACAGTCTGGACTCCATTTTGACTTGATCTCTGCTTCTGGTTGATCACCATCTACCCTCAGCCAATTCCATAGACTGGGTCATGCCTAATGTTTTCCTTTCAGACTTAACTGAATTCTGTCTGACCATCTTAGGACTTTGGAGGAGAAGGCACAAAAACAAGCAGGTTGCAGGTTCCAGGGATATTTACCTGCACTGATTTGCCTACGTGCTTCATAGTGATTGTAAAGCCATGGGAAACAAAGCATTTCAAGTTATATTCTACTTAATTATAAACATGTAACTATTCCTTTCTACATGTACCAACTACCTAGCTGAAGAGTTTAAGAATAGTATTTGTGCAGTTAGTTGAATAATGTCTATACGAAGGAAGACATTGGTGATGGTTATTTTCAAGTCATATTTAAGATCCATGAATTACTTACTAACATTTATGAGCACCTCCAGATTCCTGAAGTATATGTGACTCTTCTTTTATCCATATTATAGCATAGCCATAATTATAATAATCACTATGTTTAAAAATCACAGGGTAAAAGGCAACTATGGAGGTCATCTGGTACATCTGCTACCAGAACATATCTAAATCATGCAGTCTGATTATTGTTCAAGATTTCTAGAGAAGAGACACAATAATTTTCTCTATATATAGATTGTTTGAAGATCGGACGTGAGGGAAGTTTTTAAAAGTTTCACTCTATAATCTAATTTTAAATTCACTTGAGATTAAGTATTTCCTTATGGTACAACAGTTCTTCCCAGTTTGGCTTCTGGAAAATAGAATTAGAAAGAAAAGGCTAATGAAAGAATATAGGAAGGAGCAGAGAGTGAAAGAGCAGGGCTGAAAGAAATGAGACAGTAAAATCAAGAAGAAATGTAAAAAGAATTAAAAGTTTTGTTACCTTTAGTTTTTTGATTTGTAAGAGAATTGATCTGGTTCTTTTCTCCAGGCATTTGCCACTTGAATACAAAGTACAAACAGACTCAGGATTAATTAGAGGATGGATGGTTAAGTATAGGTAAATGCTAGAAAAAACAAGTCCAGGTATTAGGCAAAGTCTCCTGCCTACTTCCCTGCCACATCTAGTCCTTTTCAACCACTGTTAAAATTTTCTTGAATAACTTTTCAGAAAAAAAAATTAAATGCATCCCCCTGCATGGAAATATAAATGTGTGTTGGAGGGGGTTGTTGGCAGGTAGAGTGGGAGATGTACGTTTAAAATTTTATTTCAAAGGAATAACAGCATACCTTCTATATAGGAATTTACTTTTTTCCTTTAAAATAAATTTTAGAGATCTTTGTGCATGCTTACAGTCATGCAAGATCCATGAGTAAGTGGATTTTGTCTTTTTAAGCACTGTATCTCCAATGCCTAGAACAAAGGTCTTGCATATACTTTTCCTTCAACAAAAATTTCTTAGGTAAATGAATAAATCAGCATATACAAATTAACCTCATTCTTTTGATCCAAAGTATAATATTACATGATTTTAATGGACCAGAAGCATCAACTACTAAGGAACATTTATAATATTTTCAGATTTTGGCTATTACTGTAGTAAACATTCCCGAACGTATCTATTAAATCTTATACATATGTATCTGTGAGTAAACTAAGATAATTATTTAGCCATGTAATAGTTCAGTCAATTGCATTTCTAATATTGATAGATATTGCCACCTGACACTCCTAATAGGTTGCATCAATTTATATTCGCATTACAACTTTTACTCTGGAGCAACCCACAAAACCTAAACATTAGTGACAAAAACACATATTCCTAGGAACTACATATTCTTTCATCTACAGCCTTTTTATGGAAACTGTGTCAGATGAGATCTCAAAAAACTAAAAATTCTTTTGGCTTTGCTGAGCACTGGGGACATCCTTTTTCTCAAAGACAAAGTACTTGTTCCTACTGGCCAGCTTTTTGGAACTCAGCCAAAATTCATGGCTAACTGCTTCTTTTGTGTATTCTAATAATAAAGTATAATTCTATTATTTCTTTTTTGTAAAACATTTAATTACTGCATCTTTGTTAAACACAAATAATGATTCAAGAGCATGCAGATATCATTGAGAAAGTATTTATACAGAGAACACAGGTAGCGATCCTATAGAAGTGCTTGAAATTCTATCACTTTGGCTCTCACATGGATTCCACTGCCTATTGACATTAAAATAAGAAAAGTAACCTATATGCAGAAAGAAGGTTGTATTCCCATTAACATTCATGAGAGCTAAGCAGCTGAAGCCCTACATATCAAGTAGGGAATATATCCTTTGTCTACTGATGAGAAAATGTCTCAGTGATAAATGGTTACAGACAGGGGTGTCACAAGGGCAACAGCACACAGAACAACCCCAACAGAATTTTTAACATTCTTATTTTATTAAGTCTTCTTCTGCAGTTCTTTTTGTAGCATTGTGGAGGGCCGGGCCTATTCCCTCAAACAAAAGTGTAATATTGCAATGCAGAATTTCCAAACTTTGCTGAAGCACTTACCAGAAAACCAAAAACATACCATTTGAAAACAATTTAAAACAAAGCTTCAAAGGCTTCATGATGTGTAAATATTCAGACATTTTGAAAAGAAGTACTCGGCACACTGCACCCTTTTTTGTACCTAAAATTGTCATAGAGTTAGCATGGTCGTCAAAGTGCAACGTCTCTAATGTCAACACTAAGGGACATGAGACCCGTCATTAAAATACTTAACGTTCATTTACATAAATACCAACATATTATCATACTCATTCAGTACATTTGTGAGAAAAATCACACAGGAAGTCACGAATTTGTAATTTAACAAACTAATATGTCATAGAGCCTATAGGTGACTACCAACGGTTAATTTTCAAACCAAATAAGTTAGGTTACACTCTGTTGACAGCCTTGACTCCTTGACCCTGAGAATGAGGTTCCAGGGCAAATATTTCCCGGGGCTCGACTCTAGGTGGCTCACTTTCCTTACCCATAAACACAAAAGCTGAAACAACCTCGCCTTAGCCCCCTAAGGTTTCTCTCCTGTATTTTGCCCCTGCAGCAATCTGGAAGCTTCAGCATGAAAAGGGTAATAAGCATAGCGCGATTTTCTAAAACAGGGATGTCAACACAGTGCTTTTGAGGCGTCCTTCCCCACCCTAAACAAAACTGCAGATACACAGCAAGAAAAAATACACGACAGCTCCTCGACAAATCCTCAGCCCCGCCCCTTCCTCAGTGTGTTCGGCACAGGGTCTGCTAGCGCCGCGTGGATGCTGGACAAGGGCGCAGCCAGCAGGTCGCCCCGGCTCTCACTGCCGGCCGGCGGACTTGATCGCAGAGCTATTCCGCAAGGACTGAGCATACAGGGCCGAAGGGGAGGAGTCAGGGCCGGGGCTGGGAATCGGACCCCGCCCCCTGTCCCGGGCGGAGTCTTTGCGCCTGCGTGCCGGGCGTGGGCTGTGGTTGGACGCCCCGGGTTCTGGGCTCTCCCCCGCCCCTTCCCACCTCCTCCCACTTGACGCGATGACGCACCGCAGGTTTGCGGACGTGGCGGCGGCGAACGGCCCGGAAGGCAAAGGCGTTGGCGGGGGCGTTGGTGGTGGTGGTGGTGGTGGCGGACAGAGACAGCCGGAAACGGAGGCTCGGCCATGAACTTGCCGGGGACATCAGCGGTGGCGGCAGACGTGGTAGCTGTTTCCTTGCTGCGTGCCCCCTGCTAATGGGACAGGTAAAGATGGCGGCGGGAAGTGAGGGAGCCCCGGCCCCTGCGGGCGGGGTTGGGCCTCAGCTGCATCCTCGCTGGAGGCGGTGCGGAGCCTTTGGCCGCAGGTGTGGTGCGGGAAGCGGGCAAGGTTCGGTCCCCAGCCCGCGTGGAGGACGCCTCCGAGACAGGGAAGACCCTCGAGACCAGCCCCGTCAAGGTCCTTGTCACACTGTCGGGGAAACAGAGGCTCACAGGAAGGACTCCTACCTGCCGGATTGCCCACCGAAACACACTGCATTTCTCCCACAACTTTGTATTGGCCTTACTAGCTGACGGCATCTCGCCACGTCGTCCAAGTGTGATGCTGTGACACAAAAATTTGAGCTTTAATTCTTGCTGGGGGTAACAGGGAAAGAACAACTGGACGTGTAGAATGCAAAGGGAAGGAAATTAGGTTAGGTTTGGAGAAACAAAATTGGCCCTATCGGATACCGTTCCTGTGATTCTGTCCCAATGCGAAATTAGGTTGTGCCCTGTGGCGCTTTTATTTTTCCCTGCTTAATTAAGGAGGGTCAACGCGAAACACCCACCACTCACTAGCAACAGCTGTTATACAGTAGGAAGGTGTTCGGGAAACCATTTTCAGTTAGTGACTGACCCTGAATGTTTTAACACTGTAGCCATTGGTAATTATTACACTTTTTGTGGCCTCCTGCAATCTTTATAGCATGGAGGCTTGTTCAGAAGAAGGGATGTGTGCCTTTTTCCTGTCCTAAGAGAATTGAGAGGCGAAAAAAATTGAGCCAGGTGACTTGAATTATGTACCTTCTAATCTCTAGGTAGTTGGCTCAGGTAATTACCTGGGCCAGAGTCCAGCTTTTCATTCGATTAGAGACACAACCAATTCTTGATTATTTTGAATACCTAGTTTGTGGGGCAGTATTCTGCTTGCATTTCATTCCAAAGGAGAGTGAAGAGATAGTGAGACAGGTGAAGCTCTGGTCTTTGTTATTATTATTCATATTATTTAGCAATATATCATGAAGAGAGATTGATAAAAATATCTAAAATGGCTTTTGGGCATTGCTCAGTGAATTTCAGTTAACTGTGCTAAGCCAATTTTGAGGTTCTGAGAACAAACTGTCAGGGAGAAAAAGTCTAATGGGACAGCATAACTGGGTCAGTATAGCCACATATTCTCCCTAGGAAAATGTACATATTCCTACAAATTTGCCTACAAATCCACAGGGTTCACAGACATTTTCTAGGTTAAAGACAGAGGATAAAAAAAACTTGGTTAAATAAGTGGAAATAAAACTGCCTTAGAGGAATAGGTGGTATGCTTAACTTCTTCCCTCTCTTCCTGTCTGAGCCACATTACATCCAAAGTATGTTATCTCCAAAATGCCTCTTAGTGCCGCTCTCCATCTTTCACAACAGCGACGAAAAGCAATCTATCCTTTCTTATGTGAATAATTAATAGGAAGCCAAAACTGTGAATGTGGAGTTAGTTTTTTAGGTTCTTTTCTTTTTTAATGAGAATAGATGAACTTGATGGTGAGTTGAGAGTGAGTATGCAAGTAAATGAAAAGTATTCATTGATGTATGTTTTTAACTTAGGTCAGCTCTCACCTTACAGTGTTTTTTTCTGAAGTATAAATAAACAAAGTGACCTAAAATTTGTTCACAGTCTTTATGGACCATAAATTGAATTTGATGAAGACTCCAACTTAAGTTGGGTAAAAAGCTTCCAGAGAAGAAAAGTCCTTGGTTAAGAGCAAAATTATAACCTCTATAGAAGGCACATACTGTAATATAAATACTGAAGTCAGCATGATCCAGAAGTTAGTAGTGCCAAAGATATTTCAATCCCTCATGAACTTAAAATGAACATGAAGAACATGCCAGAAAGTTTTGAATTCATAAAAGTATTGTGTGTGTATAAAACATAATTTGATTCCATCAGAACTGTGGTTGTATATACTGTTATCACACATTTTTAAGACATAACACAAAATTATTTCCCTGATTTTCTTCACATAACTCAGAATAAAGGAACTTAATTTTTTTTACCTTAAAAAAGTGTAGCAATTTGCCTTTGTTAAAATGCAGTTACTCCCACATGTTTTGTGATATGTGGTCTATTAAGAGTAGATTATCTCTTCCTCCCATGCCATTGTCTCCCTGCCAAATACTGTTGTACTTCAACAGTTATAAAAATTAAACCTAAATTTTCAAATAACTAAAACCATTCTTTAAAAAACACAAAAGATTAAGTGCCCAAATGTAAGATGTATATAAGTCAGTCAGATGGATTAGCTACATTCCAAAGTTTTCTCTGCTTTGTTTTCTTGTTTGTTTTTTTCCTTTCCAGATTTTAACATTATGGCAGGAAGGCATCAGAATCGTAGTTTTCCTCTTCCAGGAGTTCAGTCAAGTGGTCAAATACATGCATTTGGAAATTGTACAGATGGTGATACATTGGAGGAGGATGCTGAAGTGTATGAGCTTCGATCCAGAGGAAGAGAGAAAGTCCGAAGAAGTACATCAAGAGATAGACTTGATGACATTATAGTGTTAACAAAAGATATACAAGAAGGAGATACTTTAAATGCAATAGCCCTTCAGTACTGTTGTACGGTGAGTTTTAATTTTACGTAATGCAGTCCAGAACAAATTATTTACTAGCCCACCCCACATTGAAGTAAATTCCATGTTCTTTTATCTTGTTTATTCCTTTCTTCCCTTTTTTTCTTCTTTGCATAGAAATGTGTGTCATGTCGGTAGATAGTTACTTTTTAAAATTTGAAGTGAATACTTGAATTTTTCTTTATGTCCAAACCCATAATTCTGTCTTCAGTATTGAAAAAATCTGAATATGTTATCTCCTTCTCACATAGTAAGAGAATGTAGAAATATGTAAGGGAAAATTTTTCCCTGCCTCAGTTTGCCTTGATAACCAGTGTTAACACCTTGATGTGTTTTTTTTCTGTATCTTTTTTTGTGCTTAGAGATGTATAATTTTTGTGTGTGTGTGTGAGGCTGGTAATCTTTGTGTTTTTAAAATTGATTTCTATTATGCATATTACTCTGCAGCTTGCATTTTCCATTTCTTTAGTATATCATGGACATCCCTCATGACCATCCCTTATAGCCTTACAGATCTAACTCATTATTTTAAACAGCTAGTATAATGTCCAT